TCAGCAGGTGGAAGCAAGAGCAGCGTTCATGGTTGCTTTGCCATTTTTCATGTCGTTATCACATTCTCTTTGGAGCACAATGTGTTTAACTCATCTCTGAGTTGGAGGGATCGTACGGATTTATCGTTGGCACAGGTTCGAGGAGAGAGGAGAGAGGAGAGAGGAGAGAGGAGAGAGGAGAGAGGAGAGAGGAGAGAGTGGGGGGGAAGGACAGGGAAAGCAGAAGAGGGAGGACAAGAGGGGAGAGGCGAAGCAGGAGTGATCGAGCAACAGATAAAGTGATAGGAGGAGGAGGGGAAGGGGGGGGATGCAAGAGGAGAAGGAGAAAGCGAAGAAGTAGAGGAGAGGACATGACGAGTTGGAGCTGCATGCTTCACCTCTTGGAAGCTTCCCAGAAGAACGGATGCTTGCTTGCCTCCTGCATGCTCAGTCGCGATCGCGGGTCATGGGCGACGAGGCGGAGGATGAGGTCAGAGAGTTCGCGCTCTTTCCATACTCTCCTCACGTCCGGCTTGTCCGCTAGGATGTTGCTCTCCCTCCTCGCCCGCTCCCCGAAGGGATGGGAGCCCTTGGTCATGACGTAGTACAGGATGCAGCCCAGCGCGAACGAGTCGACCTTGATGCTGCACTTTTCCCCTCTGATCTGCTCGGCTGCTCGCCATCCCAACGTGCCGGAGGAAGTTTCGAAGCTCGCGTGCTCGTGGTCGAGCTTCTTGGAGAGGCCCATGTCGCTGATCTTGATCCTCCCGCTCTCAGTGATGAGCAGATTCACGGGCTTCAGGTCTCGGTGGACGATGTTCATGCCATGCAGGTGGCAGACGCCGCCGACCAGCTCGAGCATGGCAACGTGCGGGCGGAAGAGAGAGGCGAGGGGGTCGAGCGGGGAGGAGGAGAGCTTGTCGACGAGGGCAGCAAGGGTGCACTGGCAGAGCTCGAAGGCGAGGTAGAGGAAGCAGCTGTCTCGTTCTGTGTCAAAGTACCTCACGATGTTGGGATGCATGTCGGAGGATATCAGGAGATTCACCTCCTGCTCCGCCACCTCCACGAAGTCCTTGACCATCCTCTTCACCGCAATCTCCCTCCCCCCCATCCTCCCGCGGTACACCACCGTCCCTTGGCACCCGTAGCCCAGCACCTGATCCGTCTCGATCTCCATCCTCCCCACTGTGAGGACCGATGATCCCGCTTGCTCCCCTTCCTCGGCGAGGTCGTTGGTAGTTCCCTCCTCCTCTTCCTCCTCCTTCGCCGCCTTGCCATCAGTCTGTTGCTCGACTCTGTCACCCATCCTATCGCTGCGCTTCTTGCCAGTGTCCGTCAGCTCTGCTTTCCTAGCACTCCCCTTTTTCTTCCACATCTTCCATGCTGTCAAGAGGAGCAGGAGGAGCAGGAGGAGCAGGAGGATTGGCGGCCAGTATTGATGAGACGACAGAAGGAGAACATTTCTCGTCCACCTCCTGTAAACGTCGGTGCTCACATGATATTGACCTGACATCGAGACCTCGCTGTCATGCCAGTCAGCAGCAGAAACCACCTCCCTCCCTCCCTCCCTCGCTCCCTCCATCGCTCCATCGCTCCCTCCCTGCCTCCCTGCCTCCCTCCCCGATGTCCTGCTGCTGCTCCTCCCCCTCCTCCGCACCTATCTGACAGACCATCTTGGCAGGCGATCGCCATGAGGAAGCAGGTTTTGTCTATCCTCACTGTCCTCTCGCTCATCGCAGGCAGTTCAACTTCCGAGCAGCTCGGCGCCTCTCCCGTCGTGCTCACGTTGATGAAAGCATCCTCCGTCCTCGTGCTCAGCCTCACCAGCCCATATCCTGCTGCCAGTCAGAAACTACAAAAGGAGCAGCGCAACCTCCTCCTCCTCCTGCCCCTGCCCCTGCCCCTGCCCCTGCCCCTGCCCCTGCCCCTGCCCCTGCCCCTGCTCCTGCTCCTGCCCCTGCCCCTGCTCCCCTCCTCTGTCCTGCCTAAACTTCCTCTCCGCTTCCTCCCCTCCTCCTCACCATAGAATTCTCCGCTCGCTGGCTCGAAGGTTGGAGGAGAAGCTTTGAGGTCATACCGAGCTGATGTCACAGCACTGGGAAGCTTCCCAGGCATGCAGTTGATCGCCCTGTTACAAGTCAGATCCCTCCTCCTCCTCCTCCACCGCCGCCACCACCTTATCCTCCCCCCCCCCTCCCCTCCCTCCTTCCTTCCCTCCCTCCCTCCCTCCTCCTCCTCCTCCTCCTCCTCCTCCTCCTCCTCCTCCTCCTCCTCCTCCGTCCTCCTCCTCCTCCGTCCTCCTCCTCCTCCTCCTCCTCCTCCTCCTCCTCCTCCTCCTCCTTTCTCCCCTCTCCTCCTCCTGCTCATCAATTTTGTTGGGTGGTAGGAGGCTGAGGCCAGAGATCGGATATATGATATCCCTCAAGCAGGTGAAGCTTTCACTGCTAGTCCCCCTCTTCCCTGCTCTTTTCCCTCCTGATTTCATTTTTCTCTTGCTGATTTCGTTCTTCTTCCAAACTTTTCGCGGTTTCCCTTATCCC